TTTTTTTTTTTTTTTTTTTTTTTCTCGTAATAATGTTTTTCTTCTTTAAAATTGCCTATCTTTTAACGTTTGTAACTACACTTTTTCTATTCTATTTTAATTTATATTTACTTTTTTAAAATATCACTATTCATACTAAAAAAAAATGTTATCACTAAATTATTTTTATTTTTTTTTTTTTTCTTTTATTTTGTGTATTATTAAAGTAATACTCATACATCAATATGTTACAGTTTAGTATATTCTGTGTAATTAAAAAGTTTTTTTAAAATAAAAAAAAAAATTTTTTTTACGAATACAATAAAATTAAAAACTTTTTTTTTTTGGAATTTTTTGGTAAATTAAAAAAAAAAAAAACAAAACTAAATGAAATGCCCATTCTAATATCTTCACTAACACTAAAAAATTTTTAGAATTTCAATTTCATTACATACTTTTAACATTTCATTTTTCTCATATTTTTAATATTTAAACATACTTTTAAGAGATTGACTAACTAATATTTATAATTTTTTCCATACACTTTAAAATATTTAAAAAAATAAAAAAAAAAAAATGAAATAGTATTAATAATAAATTAAAATTATATTTATATTTTTGTATATAAAATGAAATAAAAGAATCATATAAGAAATAGGTATATAAAAAAATAAGAAATAAATAAATGTAATATTATAAGAAAAAAAATTATTTTTTTAAAATAATATAATGTTGTTTAATATTCATTGGAAAAAAGTAGTAATAATAAAAAAAAAAAAAAAAAAAAAAAAAAAATTAAAAATACTTAAAAACAAATGAAAAAAATAAAGGAAAAAAAAAAAAAAAATAATAAAAAAGTAAATATTATTAATTTGAAAAAAATAATAAAAAAAAAAAAAAAAAAAAAAAAAAAAAAAAAAAGAGATAACTAAATATTTAGTAATAAAATGAGATATACAATTCTAAAAAATGTATAAATATTAGTATATACTTAATAATTGTGTAATAGTATGAATAAAAAAGAGATCAACGAATGAAAATATGAATTTATAAAATAGTAATAAAAAAGAGTTTTATTTAAATTACTAAAATTTTTAATTTAAAATAACAAGACATTTAATTATTATTACAAAATATAAAATATTCCACCTTATATATATCAAGTATACAAATAAGATAAAAGAAAAATATTAATATTTTTTTTTTAGTTTTCACAGTCTTTTCATTTATAATAAATTAAATACATATATATATATATATATATTTATTTATAGAATGAATTTTTCAATTTTTGTATTTTTTCCATTTAAAAAAAAAGGTTTTAAGATCCGTCTATTTTTACTAATAATTAAATTTTTAAGCTTATATATATATTTGTTTCAATGAAATTATTGGTTATATTTTTTTCATAAAAACGCTTTAAGAAAAGTTATAAAGTATTTTTCAAAATTATGTATATGTTTTAATTATATGAAAAAATAAAAACAAAATTTTTCTTTAATTCTGTATTTTTTTAATTATAATGATACGTATTTTTATTTTTTTGTCAAAATTATGTTTTAACATTTTAGTAAATTAATTTTTTATATTGATTTTTTTTATTATTATTTTTATATAATCCACATTTTTTTTTATAGCAACTTAATCTTTATTTATATATTTCTTCTACCTGAAGGCATATGGAAAGTATGAATATATATGAATATTTTTAAAAATTTTTTTTTATTTTTCTAATTATTCTAATTTTTATTAGTTACTTAATTAAAAAGCAATTATTAATATATTTATTTCAGTACTATATTTTTATTTTCAATTTGTGATATTTATTTTGGCTTATAATTTAGAATTTCTAAAAGGTAAAATTATAATGATAAAATAACGTTATAACTATAATAATATCATTTGGAAAATTTTCAATATTATTAAAAATGAAGGTAAATAATATTATCACTAAAAAATATTTTTATTCTTGATATAAATTTTTTTTTAAATAAAGGATATAAAAAATAGAAAAATTATTTCAAATCCTCTTATAAAAAATATTTTATGAAAAAGTAGAAATAAAATTATAATTTATAAATGATTCCTTTTAAGTTTTTTATTAAATATAATAAATTTAGACAGAAAAAAATAAAATAAAATAAAATAATAAATAAAATAAAATAATAAATAAGTAAAATAAAATAATAAGTAAAATAAAATAATAAGTAAAATAAAATAATAAGTAAAATAAAATCTATATTTAGGGAGTAAAAACATTTGTAGAAAAAATGAATTTATAAAATTTTTATATTTAAAAATTAGTAAAAACAATCTTTATTTTAGTATTAAGTTAAACTTTTTTATAGTTTTTTTTTTAGTTAAATTTTAAATAAATATTCCATTAATTTATGTTTTATAAACTTTATAGTAATTTAGTAAAACTAGTTAAAAAAAAAAACAATAATATAAAAATAATAATAATAGTTAAATTATTTAGTAAAATAAAAAATACTAAATGAATAAACCCATGGCTAAAGGAGTTACAATTTCACATTGTATTAAAAATTGGGAGCAAAAAAATGGCATATTATTTTAAATTAGAAAAAAAAAAAAATATATAAAAAAAATTATGAAAAATAAAAATTTGAATAATTTTTATAGGAAAAAAAATAAGTGAAGAAGAAGAAGTTAGTTTTATTTGTCATATTCCTCTAATAGAAAAATTAGATAATAGTATAAACTCATTAGAAAAATGTAAACGTTTATCCTTATCAACTAATAGAATTGAAAAATTAATACCAATGTCTGGATTAAGTAATATATATATATATTTATATATATAAATATATTTTAGTAAATATATATATTTTTTTTTTTCTTTTTGTAAAAATAGAAAATATAGAGATACTATCATTAGGAAGAAATTGTATAAAGAAATTTCAATTTCTTGAAGATATAAGTGGAACATTAAAACAATTATGGATGTCTTATAACAGTATAGATAAACTTGATAATTTGCAATCATTGAAAAAATTACAAGTACTTTACTTATTTCATAACAAAATAAGAAGCATTGAGGAAATAGATAAACTAGTAAAAATATTAATTAAATTTATTTAATATTTATAATATATTTATAATATATTTTTATTAAAATATATTATTTTTTCTTTTTTTTCTAAAAGAATACTTTACCAGAATTAGTAGAACTAGGTTTAAAAGGAAATCCCATATATGAAGGAAAAACTAATGTAACTTTTTTTTTTTTTTTTTTTTTTTTTTTTACCTTTTAAATATTTATATTTTTTTTTTTTTTTTTT